TTTTCCTCCCCACATACTCTCTGGAAGAGTGAGATTCAAGCTGACTGTTGGTGGTCGTGTGAGTTTCTCAGGGCTGCCAGAACAAAGGGTCCCACAAACTGGGTGACTTAGAACAACAGAAATATATTCTCTCATGGTTCTGGAGGCCAGAAGTCCGAAGTCAGGGTGTCACCAGGGCTGCTCTCCCTCTGAAGGCCCTAGGGGAGGACCCTTCCTTGCCCCTCTGCTAGCTGCCAGTGGTTGCCGGGAATCCTTGATGTTCCTAGACTTGTGGACACATCACTCCGTTCTCTGCCTTCTCCATGTGTCTCTGTCTTCACGTGACCATCTTCTTATAAGGACACCAGTCATACTGGATTAGGGGCCCACTCTACTCCACTATGACTTTGTCTTGATGAATTACATCTGCAGCGACCCTATTTCTAAATCAGGTCACATTCGGAGGTACTGGGGGTTAGGACTACAGCATCTCTCTCTTCTTTTGAATTTTTTTTTAGTCAGTCACCATATATATGTGTCCCTTTACCCCTTCTGCCCACCCCTCCACCCCCTTCCCCTCTGGTAACCACTAATCTGTTCTCTTTCTCCATGTGTTTGTTTATCTTCCACATATGAGTGAAATCATATGGTGTTTGTCTATCTCTGTCTGGCTTATTTCGCTTAGCATAATATCCTCAAGGTCCATCCATGCTGTTGCGAATGGGACAATTTTGTCTTTTTTTTAATGGCTGAGTAGTATTCCATTGTGTATATAAATACACCACATCTTCTTTATCCATTCATCAGTCAGTGGGCACTTTGGTTTTTTCCAAGTCTTGGCTATTGTGAACATAGGGGTGCATAAGTCTCTTTGAATTGTTGATTTCAAGTTCTTTGGATAAATATCCAATAGTCAAATAGCAGGGTCATATGGTATTTCTATTTTTCATTTTTGGGGAAATCTCCATACTGTTTTCCATAGTGGCTGCACCAGTTAGCATTCCCACCAGCAGTGTATGAGGGTTCCCTTTTCTCCACATCCTCTCCAACATTTCGTATTTCTTGTCTTGTTAATTATAGCTGCTCTAACAGGTGTGAGGTGATATCTTATTATAGTTTTGATTTGCATTTCGCTGATGATTAGTGATGTTGAACATCTTTTCATGTGACTGTTGGCCATCTGTATGTCTTCTTTGGAAAAATGTTCATGTCCTCTGCCCAGTTTTTGATAGGGTTGTTTGTTTTTTGTTGTTGAGTTGTATGAATTCTTAATATATTTTGGAGGTTAACCCCAACATCTCTTTTTTTGGGCACACAGTTCAAGCCATAATAGTGGTCATTCCCCACCCCATCTCACCCTACCTTTCTTCTTCTGGCCCCTCCAGATGTACTCTGAGATGGCTATCTGGCCATGCATGACTCACGCCCATGGCCATTTGACACTTTTAGAGGGCAGCTGAAGAAACCCAGAGAGTTAAAATTCTTTGTCTTTAATAAAATTAGCATGTAAATAGAACAGAACTCCAAGTGCAGTGTTCCGTAAAAGGCCGGTGTAACTGCAGTCTTGGTACGCAGAGCATGTTCAAGCAGTGAGGTCAAAAGCCAAAGTCAGAAGTTGGAATTGCCTTGGGGGACTTTTTATTCTGTGTTTTTCTGCCAAAGATCTGCAAACTCTACTGGTCTCTCCCTCAGGAGGCAATTTTCCGTCTATGACGGTTCACAGAGGTGTAGGGCGGCTTTTCTGGAATGTGGAACTCATAGTTCCGTGCACTGACTGGGAGTCTCGCCTGGGAGCCTGCTCTGGGTCACACGTTGGGGGCTTTCTCACATGACTGGGCGGGAGGAATGCTGCATGGGAGGGCAGGGTTCTGGTGGTGATGTTGCCTGCGGGCCCCTTGCCTCGTGCCCTGGAATACTCCGTGATCCAGCCATGCAACCTTGGCTCTGTGAGGGCCAGGGTCGCCAGGGGAGGCCCCAGAGCCTGGCGGTTGTGAGCGGAGCCCCAGTCCTGTTCTAGCGGTAGGTGCACAGGAAGAGAAGCAGTTAGGCCCTTGGGTTTTGGATTCCTGGAATCAAAAGGCCCTTCCCTGGAGTCTTGTCCAGTTTTCTCTGAAAGAAATTATGTTGTGGGCAGGTCTTTGGTGCCGAGTTAGACTTCTTTCGAGACTCTCTGGCTCTTTTTAGGGAAACGTGTTAAACAAACAACAGGTCTGCTCAGAAATGCTGTGTCTTTGGGCATCTCAGAGCGCGGTAGCTGAAACCTTCACTGTGGCATTTCCTCTCTTGGCGGTGGTGGCTTCCGATGGTAAACAAGGGGGGACCTTGATGTCCTGTCACTGAGCTCGGCCCTTGGAGACAGACTTCGGGCCCTAGAGAATCAGCTTCCAGTAGCAGTTTGACAACAGGGACTATGACTTCGCATCCTAATGACAGCCCCCAAACAAGATCCAGCTTCATAATTAGTGTCCCCATTAGAACATGTACGCATCCAGTGGTGACGTTTATTCCAGGCCTTAGTGTCAGACTCATGAAAAAGCTAACCAAACAGAAACGGGAATTTTGCTTTGGAGGAAAAAAAAATCTAAATTCTCTTACATGAGATAACATGAGGAGTTTAAAGGCACGCAGGAACTCTGCCTTGCAGGTAAATCTACTCTTCCAGGTGATGCAAAATGGAGCCCAGCTTCTGACATCTTTCTGTCAAGAATTTGCTAAAATAAATCAGACAAGTTTAGGATTGACCTCATGGTAAGAACTTTAACAGAAACCCTTCTTCTAATCTAACGAAAAAACCACTCGTACGTTTGGACATGGAAGCGCATAGCTGAGGGGAGCAAGGTCCTTGCTAGGGATTCAGGGGAGAAAATATCAGTCTGGTTTCTAAGGCTGTGTGAATCTGGGAGGTAAATGATTTACTCAGTAGGCTCAGGGTTTATTAAAAGAGAACTATTTGATGGTGGCAGGATAGATCCGTTTAATTTGCTAGATCTTTTGGTTTTTTGTTTGCATGCTTGTTTGAAGGTAAACAAATGGAATTAAATAATTATTGGCTTGGAGGGAGTGGAGGGGTAGCGAATGGATGGGATTCGTTTCTAAGCCGTTAGTGGGCTCCAGTTTCAGCCCCTGTGTTAGTCATTTGTTGCTCTGTAACAGATTACCCCAGCGTTCAACAGCTGAAAGCGACAAACATTTATTTTCTCCCTCCGGTGATGCCGGTGTTTCCATCCTTACAGCTAGGGGCCCTGACCCTGACACCCAGGGCTTAGAGGGCATCCTGCTTCTTGCTTTAATTTTTCTTCGATGACTTCTCGTCTTCCCTGCTTTTCAAGGCTGGCTAAGGGGGATAACCAAAAATTCCTGAGAGGAAAAGCTGAAAATAAAATAAAAACGGAATCTTAAAGAGGGTGGCACTTTGATTGGTGGAAATGGGGACCTTATAATTATAAAGGTTGCATCTTGATTGGACCGTGTATGTGTGTCCTCCAGGGTTGCCAAGGCTAATGTTTTTGATGGGCTGAAGATCTGCAGTGAGGCGCACTCATCACTATGAAAGAGTTATTATTGTTGGTTTTGCACAGTGACAGCTGTTGACCCTGATCGACTTGTTTTGTTGATCCACGTACGCAGGTCTGCTCCCCGGGGAAGTGAGCCACTACATAGATGGCAGGGACCGCTGTTTCTGTGATGATTTCTCTCCATCACAGTTGAGCCGTCTTACCTGGAGGACTGAGACCCATACCTGGTCAGTTCCTCAGAAAGCATTGGGTAAATCAGGGAATCATAAGAAATGATACACGTGTACATTAGCTGAAGGTTTTTTATTAACTGTATTTCAGGCTTTTTCAAATTTCACCCCTTTTTCCATTAATATCCTTTTCCTGACCCAGGATCCCACGCAGTGCACCACAGTGAATTTAGTTTTCATGTCTCCTTAATTCCTCTAGGCTGTGCCGGTTTCTCAGATTTGCCTTATTTGTCATAACCCTGGTCGCTTTAAGGAATACTGGTCATGAATTTTGTAGAATGTCCTTTGATTTGGGTTTGACTGACGTTTTCCACATGATTAGACTGGGGTTATGAGTTGCAGGGACGAAGACCACAGAGGTTAAGTGTCCTTCTGATCACATCGCATCAGGGGTATGTGTGTCAATGTGACTTAAATCTGATGAGGTAAACCTGATCGCTTGCTCAAGGTCATGTGTCCCAGTTTCTCCACTATCGAGTGACTGGTTTTCCCTTTCCAAATCTGCTATTCTTTGAAAGCCCATAATCAGGGGTAGGGGAAACATGTTAAGCCTCACCTCCTGGAGATTGTTTTGTTTTAAATTAGAGTGCGTCAGTGCAGGTTTATTCACCAATCTCTTGATAGAAGGGAATAGAGCTTTTTCTTGGAGTGTGGATCTAATAATTCTAGTTTGGGATCAACTTTCCTCATAAACCATACCCATGATGCACCCTCTACAATTTCCAGTGTTGGTTTCTCTAAAGTGGAGTGGGAATTTAAAGAGATTGTGAAACCATCTCAGTGCAGAATCCATCTACAGATTTATGACCTTTTCCTACATCTCTTGACCATCGCCCACCCTACTACCATTTTGATGATACATTTTCATTTGGTGATCTGTCTTGGTTAAATCTATATAACAAAGCATCCAAAGCAGTTTTGGTGGAAAAAAACAGTTTGTGCTCCTCGTTTGTCAGATTACATAATACTCAATTACTTTTCATAAATGCAATAACAAATCCAATTGACATAAGCAGGTTTGGGACCAGTCGACACTTGGGTTTTTAGGAAGGTACACAGGTGACTGGCTCAAGCAGAAAAACATCAGCCCCCTGGAAAAGAAAGAGGCCCAGCCCAGTGAGCTTGGGGCCTGTGGGCAGCTGTCAGCACGTCTGCAGCATAGGCAGTCTGGTTAATTCAGCGAGAAGGTCAAGTGGAGGCCTTGTTAAAAGAACTTCTCTACGTATTTTTAGAAGCGGCAAATATCAACCATAAATATTTAATGTTGTGTTTATAGACTTTAGCATCATAGAACTTCAAAAAGGTGACTCAGAGGAGGTTGACGAGCGTACACCTAGAGGAGAAGAGAATTTCCCCAACACGTCGCACTCTACCAGGAAGGCCGCCCTTGACGTTCCTAGGAAAGGAGTAAATAGGTAACTATCTTCTTCTTCTTCTTAATACTCCCCAGATGAAGTATTAGTCATTATTCTTTGCTTGCCAGGGTTTTCGTAACTCTTTTCTGATTTTAAAAATAATATGCTGTAAGCAACATGAAAAAATAAAATCAAGCATGAAAAGAAAATAAACACCTCTAAATCTACCCATCGAGGTCCCCCAGCAGTGTTTAGGTCTGTTTCCTTCCAAATGTTGATGTGTGTGCAACGTGCTGCACAGTCAGCTGTGTAATGCAGAGCTTCCACTTAACCTTACAGAGCGAGCATTAGATCACCTCCCAACATTTATTGAAAATATTTTTATGCATCTATCGCATCAAGTGCACGTTCTGTAATTTATTTAACACGTGTTGTTGGAGATTTAGATTGCTTCCAGTTTTTGCTTTAGGATAGATTGCTGGAAATAGAACTGGAGGGCTCTTGAGACCCATTACCGAATTGCTTTCCTGAAAGCTTGTGCCAATTGTATAGTAGGGCCGGGGGGGTGGGGTGCAGTTCCCATGATCCTGGTCAACTGAGCCCGAAATGCTTGGCATGGTTTTTTTTTTTTTTTCCTTTTTTTTTGTTTTTGTTTTTGAGGAAGATTAGCCCTGAGCTAACTACTGCCAATCCTCCTCTTTTTGCTGAGGAAGGCTGGCCCTGAGCTAACATCCATGCCCATCTTCCTCTCCTTTCTATGTGGGACACCTACCACAGCATGGCTTTTGCCAAGCGGTGCCATGTCCGCACCCAGGATCCGAACCAGCGAACCCCGAGCTGCTGAAGCAGAACGTGCACACTTAACCTCTGTGCCACCGGCCTGGCCCCTTTCCTTTTCTTTGATTACTAATGAGGTGGAATATTCTATCGTGTTTGTCAGCCATTTGCATTTCTTTTTCTGTGACTTGGACATATGCTGCTTTAAAAGGCATATCTCAGGTTCTTTTCGGAACATGACACTTTCTGGGTTTCACTTGAATGCCAGTTGCTTTAAGATTGCCACGTCAGAGTTTCAGCTAAATGGGCTCTTTCTGATGTTTGCTGGGACGTTAGTCTCCTGACTTTAGCCAAACTGTGAGTCTACGTATTAGGGCTGCATGTTAAACAAGAGGTAAGTCCAGAAAGCAAGAAGGCGAGTTGGCAAATTAATTTACTAAGATGGTACTTACACGTGCGCGTCTCTCAGTAACTCTTTTGCCCCTTTCCTTAAAGGAGTTCATGTGTGTAAGAGTTAGGACCACTTGTAAATGAGAGTTGACGTGTTGGAATGTCACACGGATGTGTGGGTTCGGCTCATCTCATATTCCTAGTGTGCTTATCAAAAGACAGTATTTTTATAGAGTGACAGCTGTAGGAAAAGCACAGATTCTTATGTTAGCCAATAAAAGATTTTTTAAAATATAATTATAAATTGGCAAGCTCGCCAGTTTGTTTCTACTTGTTATTAGCCAAAGTTCAGTGTTTCCCAAGGGGGGGTGTGTGTGTGTGTGTGTGTGTGCGCGCGCGCGAGTGAGTGGGTGTATATTTGTGACATATGTTTTATTATGCAAATTAGTTAATTGAGTATCTAGTATGTGACAAGTTCTGTGCTATCTTTGAAGCATTGGGCTGTTTTATAATGTACCCAGGACCAGGAGAGAATTGGTTTTTTTCTACATTACTCCGAAGTCATTATTCAGACTTCTACGCATCAGCTGTTACTACTCTCCTTTCACTGTTTTATGACATCACACAGTTAGAAAGCTTTCCAAAATCAACTTCAGTCCTCCTTTTGTAATGTTTAAGTGTAATTCCGATTTTTTATTCTCTAAAGAAAGCTTTCCAAAATTTGAAATGCAATTAGTGAAAGGGGAGGAAAAAGATGATTCAGTAGTGATCGATAGATTGGTAAAAACAAATGCCGTGATGACTTTGGGGTGCAGTATGTGTCCTTTTACAACATAACAGATGTAGCTCCTTAATAGTGTTTGTATATTTTTGCTCAAAAGTATATTGAATAGGTAAGAGTCTAGCCAGGCCTCGAATGAATCATCTCCTGCCGAATTTCAATAGATGGGATAATCCATGGGGAAATGCCCAGATTTCCCTAGGACCAGGCATCTTCTCAGGACTCAGGATTCCGTTTCCTCTCCGTGTTTTACTCCCACAGACTGGGAATTTTCTTGGTCCTACAGTGTGCAATAGACACAGCAATTGGGAATGGAAGGGCAGCAGCTCTCACTCCCCAGTTCCCTTCCAGCTTACGGCTGCAGCTTGATGGCTCACTTTGAACTCAGTTTCACAGGGCATGTGGGCACATGCGCAGTGCCTGTTTCAACCCCGAGCAAGCAGAATCTGTATTCTCTCCACCAAAATAATAATATAAGTAAAAAGCACTCTTAGAATATTGCATAATTTACATCCTGCAAAATGAATTACTTCTCCTTAATGCCCACCCGTCTTATGGGTGGTTTTTAATTAGTTCAAAATAGAACTTTAAGTGGCAATAATATTCCTCTTGCTAGAACAAGGACAGTCAAGTGTTCCATTTGTCATCGTTGATGAGATGCGTGCAGTTACCCCGGTACTAAATGCTCGAGCATCTTGTACGTGTTGATTCTCCTCTGCTTGTAATGAGTGGGCCTTAATTAAATCTCGAAGTGACAGCTGAAGATTTAAGGGGCAGGATGTCATATCCAAAAGGAGATTTACTGTAACAATAATAGCAAGAGGAGCTACGAGGAGCCCTAGCCAAGCTTTTTGTTCAGGGTCATCCCTGAACATCCCTGCCATCTTAGTGGCTAGGATTTGAGCTGTACTGTTAACAACTGCACGAAGCCTATTAGTGATGGCATCATCACTTTTGTGCTCCCATGGCAACCTGCTAGGAAGGGTGGCACAGGTATTGTGATGTCACCCCCATTTTATAGACGAGGCTGTCTCAGCCAGGCTGGGTCCTTACCAACTAGATCATCACGGCATTTGTTTTTACCAATCTATTGATCACTACTGACCTGCAGCGAGGTCTGTAAGTTCAGAGCCCACTACGCTACCTGCTAGGCCAGGTTGCTCCCAAATCAATATGTATACAGCAGGTGGAGGTGAGCGATGGGCTGTTTGCTCACCACGTGAGTGACCTGCTGATGACCTTGGCATTCTGAGACCCCCAGGCTTTCACCCCAACCTTGCTCAGGTGTCTAACGGAACTTCTGATAATTCTCTATATGAAAAATTACTTGAAACAGAAAAGCTAGTCTTCAGCTAGAACAATTTGTGATTATTAACCTGTTTCAAATTGATCAAGGAATAAACATGATTTTATGGGCATATAATTAAAAGTTTGCAGTGGGCACAATCAAAAGAGAAATCGTGTAGCCTAAAAAAACTCTCTGCCTTCATGTTGCCGACTACAGTCAACAAATTTAGAGCCTAGAAGCCGTCTAGATTTGCGCTGTCTGATGGAAATAGAATGCGAGCCACCAATGTAATTTACACTTTTCTAGTAGCTACAGTAAAAAGTAAAAAGAAGCGAGTGAAATTAGTATTGCAGTATATATTTTAAAATATATTAGGTTAATATTGTGATACATATTTTAATATATAATAATACAATAATATATTCTCTTTAACTCTCCATGTCCAAAATAGTATCATTTCAAAAGTGATCCATATAAAAAAATATCCATGGTATATGTTGTGTTCTTTTGTTGTATTGTCTGAAATTCAGTGTGTAATTGCAGCACGTCTCAATTTGGACTCAGCACGTTGGTCTGTCTTAATCTAAGACCCCACGCTCCAATCTCTGTCTAACATTTTGAAAATTAATTCAAAATAAGAAAAATAATTTGCAAGCAGTTAGTTGCACTCTTTTTAGGAAGGGATAATTTTAAACTTGGACAGTTTGTGGTTATTAATCTATTTGGATTTGGTCGAGAAAAAAATGCAATTATATGTGGGCATGTAATCTAAAAATTTGCACGTGGATCAGTTAAAGAGGAATTGTGTGGCCTGGAAAGTCCTCATAACCCTCTGTCCTACAGACCACAATCGAAGGATTTTAGCTGCTGCAGGCTTCGAAGTGACCACGCTGACCTGCACTGTCCAGTAAGGTGGCCACTAGCCACGTGGAGCTGTGGAGCACCAAAAATATGGCTACTGTCACTGAAGAACAGACTTAAAATTTTATTTCCTTTTGACTGATTTAAATTTAAACATCAAACTTTGATTAAGTTACTGGAAAACTTTAAAGTATATTGGGAACCAACCACGTGAGTATGTGAATCTCTATTTTCAGCTGCACATTTTCTGAACCGTTAACAGCAATCCAGTATTTCCAGTGAAAAGTTAGTGTCCTAAGTGAGATGTGCCGTAAGTAGAAAATACATAAACCTTTAAAGATTTGGAGATCTAGTTGGAAAAAGGAATATAGGAGATCTGAGTAATTTTTTATAGAGAGTACATGTTGAAATGATGCTATTTTGGATATACTGGGTTAAATTTAAATTTAAATATGTTATGAAAATTAACCTCACCAGTCTCTCTTTACTTTTTTTTTTTTCCAAGTAGATGCCACAATTTTTTTTTCCCCAGGGAAAGATTTGCCCTGCGCTAACATCTGTTGCCAATCTTCCTCTTTTTTTCTTTCTTTTTCTCCCCAAAGCCCCGGTGCATGGTTGTATATCCTAGTTGTAAGTTCTTCTGTGTGAGCCACTGCCACAGCATGGCTACTGACAGACGAGTGGTGTGGTTCCATGATCAGGAAACGAACCCAGGCCACCAAAGCAGTGAGCGCCAAACTTTAACTGCTAGGCCATCAGGGCTGGCTCCCCCTTTACATTTTTAAATTTTAAAATTGTATATAAGCTCACCTTCTCTTTCCGTTGGACAGCACAGATCTGATCAGAGTTCTCACATAGCAAATGTAGAAAAGTAGTGCTGGAAGTTCCAGGCTGTCAGGCAGTGATAAGTCCCGACCTGAACCCTGGCCCCTGCTTTCCCTCCCGCCCTTGTGTAAGTGTTCC